TATATATATATTACAATATGGATATATAATATCAAAGATGTGCTGTGGTGTTTTGGAAGCCTGCTATGTATTTCTACTAATTTGCATATTTATTTATGGGAGGGGACAGAGTGGTCCAATAGGCACATGTACTTTTCAGAAACATGCACGTACACAATTTCATAAATCTTAATGTTTAGTGTGCACACACTATTCAACTTTTGTTTGTACGCCAATTTTCAGTACGAAAGCTGCAGTTTTTAATACGTGAATCTCCTGGTGCTCATCTGTAAACGTTGAGCTAAAACAGGCTCATTGTCAAATTATGCAGACAGTAATTTCAGCCATGACTCTGACACATTTTCTGTTTTTATCCCTGTCACTTTGTCAGGGGAAACACACTCTAACCAGCCTGGAGTGGGAAACGAAGGGCTTGATGTTTGCTGACAAGAGATTAAAATTTGTCTCAGGACTCATCTGGTTCAGTTTGGCAAGCAAAGGCAGCTTTCAGAGTGGACTGAAATACAGAAACTGTGTGATTTAATCAGACGGTGTAAGAAAAGGCTGACATGGAGGATGTGAGTGAAAATGAAGGAAAGAGAAGACAGTACAAAACAATTTATTTCACCGTGATTACAATGTGATGCTGCTGCCAAGGTAAGCAGACTGACTCTACTCTGGTTTTAATAGAAGAATCTACATTTAAGACATGTCTCATGTGTGTGATTACAAGAAATCGTTTAGTGCTGTTGTTGAAGTACAATGTATAAACACAGTACGTGCAGGTATTTGTATTGCTGAAGCACATGATTGTGGGGCTACAGCATAGGTAGAATTTACATGTGTATGCATGGTATGTGTCCTTTCATGCTGAGCTTTACCACAAACTCAACTGTCCACATTCCCAGTATGTTGCATCTTCCTGCTCCTGCATTCAACCTGTATCGTTTCAGCAGGTATCTGCAAAATAGAGCTGCCATAACAAGGCATGAATACATTGACTAAAAGTTGTTTTCCTTGCATCTTCAGACTGAATAAAGCTTCATTGTAGGAGTACGTTTCCATGTATTCAGATCAAGGAAAAGCCAAAGTTAAACTCAGTCATGGCACTAAAAATCAGCTTTTACATGAAATAAATATAAATGTTGGCATTTGTTTAAATCATTTAAGGTACGGAGAGCTTTCACACCAAACTGCTAATAACACAAACTGCTGCACTGAGAGAAAACACCCCATGGCATGCTTGTGCATGGGATTTATATGGGAATTTGATGGGGTGCAAAGGGTGATTTGCACTACCTCCTCCGGGCGCTTTCATCTTAACCTGCCAGCACGCCACACGTAGCACGCTGCTGTTGCCTGGACAACTGATCGATGGAATCCAGTTTGTGAGGGAGAGGGGGGAGAGAGCGTGGAGATATTTGGATTAGCATTGCTGTTTCCATTGGGGCAAAGGACTGCCGTTCGCCTGGGTCAGTTTGTAAAGCAGAGAATCAGCATTCAGGCACCCACCTTCACCTTCCACCCTCTTCACATCACAGCTTCTCATTTCGTCAAGGGTGGGACCACACAGAGGTGGCGTCCTGGGACTTCTTTAGGCTCAACCTGGACAAGGCCTGGAAATTAAGTAAAAAAGTCTGAATAATTACTGATTATAAAAACCAAGTTTTTATACCAAAAAACATTTTCATCTTCTTGCAAATACGATCTGTGATCTCATAGGATTTGCCTGTTTAAAGAAAAAAAAGGTAATAAAATAAAAAAAATCCTGTGATGGACTTGCGACCTGTCTACGGTGTACCCTGCCCTTCACACAGTGACTGCTGGATATGGACACCAGTGACCCCCGTGTGACCTTGAAAGGAAAAAGGGGGTAAAAGATAATGGATGAAAATAATAAAATCATACTCCCCATAAAGACAAGTTAGAAAAACTTGTTTGCTTCCTCAGAGATCCTTCTACGTCGCAGATGATAACTATATCATTCCTCATAAATCCAGGGTTTGAATACCAGTTGCACAGCCACGATTTGAGAAAGGTGATCATTTTATGGTTGGAGCACAGCTACAGGTTGATTTTAGTCTGCTAGTCCAACAATGTCCTCTGTCTCACCCGTCCATATTACAGTGTCATTGCCTACATGGACATTAAAGTACTACAGGAAGTGTTCCCAGACTGGGCGCATTCACAAGCCATGTTTCCATCCAATTTTAATTCAAGCCAATTTTAAAAAATTCTCAAAAAGGAAAAAAAAAGAAGAAATGTGAATCAAACGTATTTCCATCAACTGGCTTGAAACAAATCAACCAGGCTACGCAAAGTGTAATTATGTCAGACGCATGGCTGTGGTAAACAAGAAGTAAAAGTCGCAAACTCGCAGGGATCTCAGGACAATGGAGAGAAGTTATCAGGAACGTGTTGCTACTATCAAAAAAAGTTGTACTTATTCTGTCATTTCTGTTAAGATTGAGCTTGGTTGGTTAGAACCCCAAGATGCAGAACTGAGTGAGGTGGCAAAAAGTGATTTATTAGAACAAAACAAAAGGTGCTGACGTGGCAGCAAACAAGAACTAGGGATTTGGGCAGGAACAAGGGCATGAACATCGAACAGAGAACAAGGATCTGAGAACAGAGAAGAACATCCAACAGAGAACAAGGATCTGACAAAGACTGAGGACAAAGGACAGAATATAAAGGAAGAACTAACAAGAAACACCTGGGGAAGAAACATGAGGATCAGGTGTGAGTGGGCGGGGCTAGAGCAAAGGCAGACATGAGGAAGAAAACAGGAGGAAAAGACAGAAAACTTAGACTAAATCATAAGCACAGACACAAATCATGACAATTTCAACAAGTTTTGGCGATGTTACATGCTGTCTGGAGGCGTAGAGAAAGAAATGCAATTCTTTTCACATTACATGAGTAACTGAGAAGACGCCGACAGCGGGAGGAGTGTCCAGCTGCAGTCACAGCTACAGTCAATCTGGTACCAGTCCGGTACCAGACAGTGGAAACAGCTGATCAACCATGGGAGGTCCAAACTGCTACATCAGAACTTATCCAGCAAATGTGTTTCCATTTCCCCTATTGTGCATTAACTCTTTTTCGAACCCCACCAAAACCATCTCAAGCGAGCGAATCAACTGTTTTGCAAATTTGAAAAAGTTTTTTCGATTTGTACCGTTTCTATTCACCTTTGCTAAAGCGATACTTCAAAAATGCGCATTAAAAAACGTTGATGGAAACACAGCTACAGTCTCAAAAGCACACTAAGAAGGTTAAAACTGAATTGTGTAAATAGTCAGAACCTTCCTCCACCTAATTGACTGCATAAGTGAAACAAATCCTTTGGTTTATTAAGGAAACGTTGGTCCTTTTGTTTTCTGCATGTTTGAGCAGTTTGCCAACTTAATGGTTTTTGATTTATTTACCATAATGTTTGTTTTTGTTGTCATTTATTTTAATGCACCGCCTGCAGGAGTGGAAACTAAAATTGTACCTCTAGATATTTATTTTTTTCCTCATCTATACTCCATTGAACCTGGCTGAGCTGACAGGGTGACGTTTTCTAGGAAGAGGCAAGCTTTTTTTAGTGAGGTAAACACACAGCAAAGATTCATTGTTGTGAAAATATCTTATGGTTGACTCAGACATCCTGAACAAGCGACTGGATGTGCAACGGCTTGGGGGAAAAAAAAATCATGACTTCGAAAACATATTTATTTCACAGTGAATGCAGACCTCAGAAAAAAAAAGCAGAAGTGCTGAACAATAGTCTTGAATACATACATCAGTGCGTCAATCCATCCTGAACAGCTTTTCAAAGAGGGGCTCTCGTTTCTGTTTGACTTTGCTTCCATGTAGACTAGCCCATCAAAGTTGGGTGCAATGGTTCACTCAGATATAATACCTCCAGGGAGATGAAATGTTTCCACTTTTCCTGCATATTGAAGTCAAACCATTTTTCTGCAGAGTGTGGTGTGCCTCTTTTTTTTATTCAATATCAGGGGCTCCACAGAGACTCATTGGGCTTTGGGCTGGCAGCAGCACGATGAGCGTGTGAGCTGCTATCTGACTGACTGATCGTTTTTAATAATGCTCACTTGCCTGCTCACATTTGTTCATATCTAAACAGGGGGATGTTAGAGGAGAGGTGCTCGCTTTTTCTGTTGTGAAGCGACAGTGGTCTCACAGTTTGTGGCTGCGAGGGATGGGATGTCTTCTTATATTCCAAACGACCTTCCAATAAATCATGCAAGCATTTAAGCTCAAGCATGAAGAAGCACATATTTATGTCTGTACAGCTGCATCATGTTGTAAGAAAAACAGATTTGCTGTCAAAAAAACCCTTTGATAGGCACTGAGTATAAATGTTTCTGGTTACTTGTTCTGTAAATGAGCAAATAAGTGGTTGAAATCTACGTATGTACTTTTTGGTTATTCATTTTCCATTTTAAAAAACAGATATTGAAACATAAATAAACTGATGGTTATTTCATTTTATACTCCAAAAACAAAGAAACAAACCAAAAATGGCCTGTGTTTTTATTTTTTCAAACCATAAGTTTGACAATGTCATTAAGGCAACTTGAATGACCAAGAAGTACACGAACCAATGGTTAGTCCATTAACATTTGGTGTAACTATTCCCCAACTTTTGATCTGTGTAAATTAAAAGCATAGTGCACCAAAAACTAAATGTACTTCAAAGTAAATCGAGAAAAAAAATAGAAAAAAAGCAGGTTCTTCAAAGCACTAAATATACAGTATGTTTAACCTTAGCAGACTTAAACTTTCTACTTTTCTATTTATAACTCTAAAATACCTGAAACTTAAGGGTCAGTCTGCTTGTTGATTTCAATGTATTACATGAAGTTATGAGCATCCCCACTGATGCCTCAGCCACCGTCTGCCACCTTTTGAAATGTGAAAAACATGTTTAGCCCTCTGGATGTTTGGCAATTTATTTTTAAAGGACCAACGGCGCAAGTTCTGTATAAGATTATTGACAACCGACTTTCCTCTGGTTTGTTTAGTCTTTTTTGTGAGAAGGCGTTCATCTATTTTTAAATAACTCTAAACCCCTCATCTGAAGCTTTACACCAATTAAATACATCACTCCTTCATTTCTTTAAGTATGAGAAAAAATAACCTCCAAGAACCGTCTGGTAGCTGCTTAATAATACAGAAATGAACAGATTTACTCAGATGCTGTTTGTTTGAAAAGGATATTAATGTATTTTGCTATGTATCCTGGTCACTGGTTTATTCATTTATTTTCTTTACATTGATTACTAACCCACTCTATTGGAAGTTTTCAGATAATACAAAAGTGAAAGTTCAAATGTTTGCTTTTGGGAACAGCAGGATGGTCTTTCTGTGTGGAATTTGCATGTGCACATGTTTGCCTTGCTCTGGGTACTTTGGTTTCCTCCCACTAACCAGAAACAGGTTAGGTTAACCCCTCAGAAGTTCCTTTAACTTTATGACAAAAAGCGTTTAAACAAGGGGTGTGGGAATAAAAAGAGTTGACTATCTTACATAACTGCTTAAAATAGGTCCACAATAAGCTACAATACAGCGGGTAAAATAAGTACTGAACACGTCACCATTTTTCTCAGTAAATATATTACTAGAGGTGCTAATGACATAAAATTTTCACCAGTTGTTGGTAACAACCCAAGTGATCCATACATACAAAGAAATCAAACCACAAATGTCCAGAAATGAAGTTATTTGTAATAATGTGGAATGACACAGGGAAAAAGTATTGAACGCATGAAGAAAGGGAGGTGTAAAAAGACATGGAAAGCCAAGACACCAGCTGAACTCTCTCAGTAATTAGAAAGCAAGCCAGTTAATATCAGCTGGTTCAGTCCCAAATGATTCCACATTATTACAAATAACTTCATTTCTGGACATTTGTGGTTTGATTTCTTTGTATGTATGGATCACTTGGGTTGTTACCGACATCTGGTGAAAATTTCATGTCATTAGCACCTCTAGTAATATATTTACTGAGAAAAATGGTGACGTGTTCAATACTTATTTTACCCGTTGTATCTTTGAACTATCTCACCCTGAAATAAGAATAGACTGTTTAATTTTTTACCCTTTAAAAAACAAAATTATCAGAAGTGATCATGTTTACTGAAAACACCAAATACATAAAACACAGACAGAAATAAATGTGTGGCTGATTGTTCCCCATAATGACAGGGTTGATGTATAAGTAGGACTCAGCATGCAGACACACGGAGGACTTGAAAGGAATAAATTAAAATATTAACAAAACAAAAAGCTGACAGGGTAGCAAAACACTAAGTGTGAAGGAACACGTAGCAGAGCAGGATATCAGGGAGGGAGCCAAACCAACGAACTGCTCGTTAGTCCTGAAACACACTCTGAATGTGTGGAGCAGAGGTAGTTGGAAAACGGAGGCACCTGTGTTGCTTACTAACTGGAGACAGGTGTGAGTGGAAGGCAGACTGGGTAAAAAAATAACTGAAGAGACTGACTGAGGGTCAGTGAGAAATGACACAGGGAACATTAGAACACTGAGAACTGAAGAGAATTAAAAGTAAAAAGTACAACATCAGACTGATATTAAAACACA